TTGAATGCGAAGTTGATCAAATAGCCAACTGAAAAAATATATATGGCAGATGGGTAAGTCGGCTTTCTTCTCCCTACATTAGATATTTTATATATTCGAATGTATCTTCTCCAAAATTATATGAATCTAGAGGGTTTCCATAATTATAGTCTTCAATATTTGACAATATTGCATTTCTAATTCTTTTACTGAAGATCATATTATTATTTAATAAATACCTTTCTACTTTTACGAGCTCATCAAATATTGTCAATGCATTATTATATATGGGCTCAATTTCATTATCATTTATATATGATTCTCTATAGCATCTGTCTAATTTTTCTAATAAATTATGGTATTTTATATTAAAGTATTTTCGCCTTTTATAAAGTTCATGACAAATTTCTTTATACCATATGCGATTAATATAAATACAGTCATTTAGATCTTCTGTTGGCATTTTTTGGACGATTTTAGCGATGGTTTCTGAAAGTGTAAATGGGTTGAATATATGCATGTTATATTGTATATATCAAACGTGTGGGTTTTATTAACTAAGACTTTTTATTCTTTTAGAATTTTGCATGATATCTTGATTTTATATCAAGTTCTTCAACTTGAAGTATTCTGCGAATGTTTTTTTTTATTTTAAAGAAAAAAAATATTAACTATGTATACCGCCATGATCTAGACTCTATGATTTCGGTTACAAAGAAGACAAGTAAGGCGTACATTCCCTTTAATATGCCCCAAACTATTGTGAATTCGATCTACTGTCCACTAAAGTATATCTCCTGGCTGATCCCATTCGAATTTCATTTCGATGAAACATGATGCGCATTTGTCTTCTTGAATACATTTTAATGTTAGGATATAGTCAACTGTTAAATCAAATTTACGACCTTTTTCTTTGTCCTGGCCTATATATCCGATAAGTTTTTCCTGAATAGACGGTCTCAATTTGTGCTTTAGCTGTCTTTTCTTTTTTGCCTCCTCAATCTCTTGGGCAATTTCAGGAGGTAATGGAGGCGCTTCAACCCGAATGAGTTGGTTTAAATATTCCACACGACCAACTGCCAAATATATTAGATTATCCCAGGCTAAGTTTTCATCAATAATCCAAACACGCTGTGGTGACTTAAGAGTCATCCCCTGACTAGTATGAATAGTCATAGCATATCCAAGTTCCCAATCTATGACTTTTTTATCCGCCAACATATCTTTTAAGAATTTGTCAGGAAGTGTATTTAAGGATAAGTATACTATGTCATTTTTTACTAACTCCTTCTTTTCAGATAGGCCAGGGATCTGGACAAGGCAGTTTTGTTTGCGTCCATCTCTTGGCCTATAAATTAATGGAATTGGAATTTCAGGATATTTTATTTGATGAAGTTCTAAACATTTTTGGGAAGCAATTCTCCGGGAAAGTATATGTGCTGATAATATGCGATCTGAGGGAGTCCATTCCTTTTTGAGATGTTCCCATTTTTCTATAGTTGGGAGAATTCCTCGAAATAATTTTGATTGTATTCGATTATTTTGTCGACGCATAGCTTTTTTGAGTTCATGTAATTTAGGACATTTTGCACGATAATCAGTTAAAACTTCTTCGTAATAATCAGCATGCTCTTTTAACCAATTATGTGGCATTTCTCCGAAGAATGGCGGAGGTTGTGCATCATCACCGCAACAAATTACCTGGCATTTATGTTCTAATAAATAATTAATGAACATTTCAAGAATATGCTTAGGAACTGTACATACCTCATCCCAAATAACAACTCGTGGAAATTTTTTCTCTCCCATGCGTTCAGGTGTCCACTCTCCCACTCCATTCCATCTGAAGAAACTATGCCAGGTTTGAGCTTTTACATCACGTTTTTCTCGAAAATCTTTAGCTAATGCATTTGTATGAGTAAATACAACCATGTTTATATTTTTGAAAATTCGAATTGCACGCGTTGTTTTTCCTGAACCACCTCCTCCATTAAGATATGATTTCCGACATCTTGTAATAGGATCATGAATCGAGGGTGCTGTACTTTCAGGAATATTTTTGATCGATTCCCAATGTCTATTCTTTGGCCAGTATACAATATCAGTAACTGGTCTATATATTTTTTCACCTTTGTCACGCCATTGACCGGGTTGAATTTCTCGGATTTCTTGTTCTTCTGGTTGATGTGAAAGAGCATAGGAGTCTGGTTTATAAAACCATTCCCCAAAGCAAAATCTGCAAACAAATGGTTTATGTCTTTTGCAATCATATTTTACTAGAGGCCTTTTTGTTTTTAGAAACTCTTTAATCCATTTTGCATATTCAGATTTTGAAATAAATAATTCTTTTGGATCAGTACACATTGCACAAGAAGGATAGTGTGAACATAAATTTGGATCTGACTTTACCTCAACTTGCTTGAAGAATGCCGGTATATTTTCGATCTTATATAAAGCCTCTTTTCGTACATATATAGAATCTGTAGCAATCCTTACTACTTCATTAGGATCGAA